TGGAGGAAAGGATTCTGAAGCTTCGTCTGATATACTTTGGACATGTTGCAAGGCGGGATTAGTCCTTGTAGAGGGACATCATGCTTGGAAGCATGGAAAGACAGTGAAGGTGAGGAAGACCCTCAATTAGTTGGATTGATTCCATCACTGGGGTAATGAGGATACATGTTTCAGAGACAGTAAGGTTAGCAAGAGATAGAGCAGGGTTTAGGGCTTTTGTACATAGGGATGCTATGAGTCATAAGTGGCTTGACAGCACATAACAACAACAACAACAATCTTCTGTCACGCAATTTTCAACCTCTGAAAATTTGCTGAAGGATGAGTTAGAAGTCAGTTCAGACTTAAAAAGCAGCTGTGAGGTGTTTTACTAATTATATGTGCATATAAAAAGTGATCTGACCTACAACCAGGAAAAGATAAAATAGATGAATGGGATCTTCTAAAAATCAAATCCCTATGCACATCCAAAAACTTCTCGAACAGGGTAAAAAGGGAAGTCACAAACTGGGAAAAAGTATTTGGTAATGACATATCAGATAAGGGACTTATATCCAGAATTTATAAAATACTTGAGCACCACAACAAGATAAAGGTAAATAATCCAATTGAAAAATGAGCACAGGATATGAACAGGCACTTCACCGAAGACGACTTTCAGATGGCTAACAAGCACATGAAGAAATGTTCAAAATCCCTAGCTCTAAGAAAGATGCAGATCAAAACAACTATGAGATATCATCTCACCCCAGTCAGAATAGCAAAATTCAACAGAACAGCAAGCAACAAATGCTGGCGAGATTGTGGAGAAACTGGAACCCTTTTCACTGTTGGTGGGAGTGTAAAATGGTGCAACCACTGTGGAAGGCGGTATGGAGCTTTCTCAAAAAGTTACAAATAGGGATACCATTTGACCCCGCAATACCACTACTGGGAATATACCCCAAAGAGACCATAAATGACATCCAAGCAGATATATGCACACCCATGTTTATTGTGGCTTTGTTCACAATAGTAAGGAGTTGGAAGCAATCTAAGTTCCCATCAACAAAGGAATGGATAGAGAAGCTGTTGTATATTCACACAATGGAATACTATGCTGCTTTGAAAAACAAGGAACTCATGCAATATTATTCAAAATGGGTGACCCTGGAGGACATTATGCTGAGTGAAGTATCTCAGTCACAAAAGGACAAACACTGCATGGTGCCACTGTTGTAAAACAGGAATGACCTTGGGGTCAGGGAAAGACTAACAAAGATGGATTCAATAATATATACTGCATTTAAACAGATGAGGGAGAAAACTGTTTAAAAGGGATATGTGATTAGCTATTTTTGCCATGACAGGAGTCTAGAGCAAAGGCTACATGGTGGAGTGGACCTGCGGGAGGGTTTGTAAAACAATGAAAGAGTTTAACTTTTCCAAGAGGGTAGTGTACTAGTGGGGAGGGTTGGGAGGTGAGAAAAGTGCAACAATGAATGAATGGGGGAAAATGATATGGTGGTGTGGTTCATAGATCCTTGTGTCACTAACTAAAAGGCTAAATTTCTTCAGTGGTTCAAATCTACCAGTGGATAATTGGAAGAAAGATAAACAGTAAGTCTTTTCATGATTTACAGTCTTGGAAAGCTGAGGGAGAGGCACTGTGGGTTAGGATAACAGTGTGAGTTTTTTAATTTGATGTTTACACTAAATAAATAACTCCTGATTAGGAATATAATGGGATTGGCAAAGATTGAAATTATATTTGTCTTCTAGAATTATCTTCTAACTGCCAGTATAAGTCTCCTGAATTTCTGTAAAAATTAATACTATAAAATGCTTTGTTTCTAAATCAACCTTGTTCTTTTGGTGGGTTAAAAAAAAAGATAAAACAAAGAAGTTGAAAAATTACTTCCAATAAAATATCTGGATTATGAAATTATCAATAGTAGAATTATTTGTTTTAGTAAATATTACATGTGTATGCAATTGTTGGTTATCACCTGTCTCAGAAAGTTAGGGGGAAACTGACTATATACAACAGTTTCTATCCTTGAAATTTCTACATCTATCATTTATTTCTTTTCCACTTAAAAGACCATGAAATGTGTTTGTTGCCAATCTTATCACATCCTGTTTGGAAAATGAAAAGAAGTTTTCTTTCCCATATGTCATGATTCATGTTCTAGTTCTGTCCTTCTGAAGTTGTTAGGGTGAGGACTTGTTAAGGTAACTGAGAACCAGCAGGTAATACAAACACCCAGTTATCTTCTGAGGGAGGCATTCATCACCCGATACACTGGGGAGATACAGGTGACTGCTGGGGAAGTTGGTTGTCTGATTGCAAACTTTGCTCCACAGGAAGTCAAGAGAACCTCCCCCCTACCCTGAATATAAGTTATTCATGAGCTTGGGGATGAAAGGAATGTGATGGACTTCAGAAATATAAAATGCCTAATGTTGTCTCAGTGTCAAGGAGAAATGCTTTTATCTTCATGAAAGAGAGAACAGAAAGAACTTTTTTTCTTAAAAAAAAAACCTCAACTTTTTTTGTTTTCCATGACATACATAGTACAGAATTAATTTTCTTCCTCCTTTCAATTCACCCACCTCCCTATTCTCATCACCTTTCTTAAAACTGTGGAGTGAGGGTCTTAAGAAAGAATGAATTATATATGTGAGGCTATAATGCTAACAGCATGTGTAGTGCTTTTTCTAGATATTATTTACTCACTCTAACAAAGAGCTTGCTTTTCATAGTATTTGGTTTTCTCTGTAGCTGGCATCATTATTTTATAGAATTAAATTCTGGTAAGTAAAATTAGAAAGCTCTGCTATTTGTGAAAGCTCACTTTGTGCCACATACTGTGTTCTGGGTATATTATAGTGAATCCTATCCTTCCCCTACTGATGATATTAGCAGGTGAACTGCTACTCAATTCCCCATTTTACACATGGAAAAACTGAGACCTAGAGAAACTGAATGACTTGTTTAGCCTATTTCTATTCAATGCACCCATTTAATTGGAGGCCATGAATGGCACCAGTGATTAAACTCTCAACGACTTTCTAAAAGGCCTGATATTTGAAAATACTAAATGGCGTCTTGGTAGACAGGCTTTGGTCACAGCCTTGAAAAACTTATACAACAGATCTACTCTCCACACAGGGACCCACTATGAGTTGATTCAACTAGATCACAACTAACAACAATGCTCTTTTAGATACTCAGAATGTGCTCCTGAAGATGTATCAAATCACACAGCCTGTGCTCTAAATCTCTCCTGTTCTAAGTGGTTCTGGAACCACACCACCACATTCCCCAGGAACTTGTCAGAAATGTAGACTCCTTAGTAGTGTACTAGTAAATGTTTCACAACCAGCTTTTTTTTTTCCTTTTTAGAGGGATAGGAACAGTGGTTAGTAGTATTTGCTGATTATCATGGTATAAATGCCTCCACTGTGACAGATTAAGGAGCCATAATAGACTAGTGAACATGTTGATCTGCTAACTGAAAGATGAGCAATTCTAATTCATTAACTGCCCTTGGGGGAGAGGTGGACAATTTCCTCCCATAAACTTTTACTGTCTTAGAAGCCCAAGGGAAAGCCACCATGAGCCAGAATGGATTTAATGGCAATGGGTTTGGTTTCTGGATTTTATAGCCGATTGTTAGCTGTGAACATGAAGTTACTGACCACGGAGATGATAGGTGAACCAAACATTCAGCTCTGGAGGAGCAGTAAGAACCAACCAGAACATACTACTGCATCTCAGACCTATGGAATTAAAACTTTTATTTCAGCAAGTTTTGCAGGTGATTTACATGCTTAAGAAGAACTCACCTAAGCCAACGTTTCATATTGCCTCATTTGGTGGAATCCAATGGGATATTTGGTCTTTGCTATTTCTTCATCTATTAGCACATTGATTTAACAGGACAGAATTCTTGTTGGCAGTGCTGACACAGAATGAAAGTCTAGCTTCTTATCTCTGAAACCTGTTGAGTGGGGCTCAGTGTAACAAAAGTGGTGCTCATGGAAGTTACTCACTGACTCAATAGAAATGTAGTCATGTACATGGAGGAAGGACCAGGAGAGCTAAAAAGTGCTCCTCACATACTTACGCATGGCTTTTTCAAAATGGGTAAGAAAACGTGTACTACAAAACATGTAGGGATCATAAAGTGAGCCCTTTCAGTTTCTTCTGCTATCACTTAAGCCATTGTCCTGCACCACTGTCCTTTTATGCCATGTGTGCAATGGCGAGAAAAATATGGTAATAGCATATTTGTATTTAATAATATTTAATTTAATAATATTCTATTTAATATTATTATATTTATATTTAATATATATAATAATATTCTATGTAATTTCTATCCAGACTCAAAACAAACTGAAAACATGTCTATTTTTCTTCTTTTGCACATAGGAAATTGGTTTAGTGTTTTGTAGGGATTAACACAAAAATAGAGTGTACTCTTGCAAACTTCCAAACTTACTCTACTCATGTTGTTGTTGTTGAGTAGAATCGAGTCAGAACCAACTCCTGGCTGACTCTCCAGCAGGTTTTCAGAGGCTATTAATTGCCTGGGGGAGATTCCCCATCCTCCTGTGGAGCTGGTGGATTTGAACAGCTTGCCTCCAGATTGTTTTGCATCTCCTCACCACTAGGCCACCAGACCACAATAAAATAGTGAATGAGAAAGTATTGGAGAAGAAAGAGAATTTGAAAATTATTTAGAATAAAACTCTCTTATGGCAGATGGAAATAAGGTTAGTTACATATAACTGTGGGGTTATTTATGGGACGAATCAATTATAGTCTACTTATTTCATAGACTCTATTGTGATTTACTCTTAGGATGTCACTGCCTATGTCTTTTATGTTTTTTATTTGTTAATGGTTTATTTACGAAGGGAAACTATTCCTTAAGTGACACAGTCATGCTGCACAGTTCAGGAACACAGGTCATGGAACTCAATCCAGAGAAATTCTGTACATTCCAAAGTTATTTTACACTCTGAAAGATACCAGCTTTCCTCATCTCCTCAAAATCCTTCATGGCATCAAAATTTCTATAGAAATCCACATATGCCTTCTTTCTTCGGTCAGCCACAGCAAACTTATAGCAAGCTGCAACGCCCAGGGACAGAGTGATAGCTATCGTGAGATGTATGCGCAGACGCTTGGCCAGCAGGCCTCGCATCTGAGGTTTTGCCAAAGCACGGGAAGACATGTCGGTCGTTCTTCTCCCTCAACACCAACGTCCTTCCTGACTGACAGAGAAATGGGCAGTGCTGACACTTTTCTAAAATTACTGCTCCTTTCATTCATTCGGATGACTTCAAAGCCTGCCTGCAAATTGATGAATCCCAAAATGTTGTTTCTGTGATTGTTGTTAGGTATCATCAACTGAGTGAACTATAATTTATAGGAACCCTAGTGACAACAGATCAGAACGTCACCTTTTACTGCCACATCCTCACCATTTTCACCGTGCTCAGCCCACTGTTTCAGTCATTGTTTACCTGTCTCTTTGAGGATCATGTATGTTCCTCTGTTTTGCTGACTTCTCCCATTGTGATGTCTGTTTCCAAGGATTGAGCCTTCCTGACAATATGTTTAATGCATATGTGATGAAATATCACATTCACCTGTAAGAAGCACTTGATTGCACTTCCTCTGAGGCATTTTGTTCTGTTTTGTTTTTTCAGTCCATGGTGTTTTCAATAATCCTTGCCAACACCACAATTCAAAGGCATTGATTCTTCTTCAGTTTTCCTTGATCATTGCTCAACTTTCAGTGCCATACTAAGAAGGCAAAGTTCTGGGGCTACATTAGGCACATCTTGGCTTTTAAACTGATATTCTTGCCCTTTAACACGTCAGAGAGGTCATGAAAACAGCTTTTTTAAGTGCAACATGTCTTTTGATTTCTTAATTGCTATTACCATGTATGTTGATTGTAGATCTAAGTAAAATTAATTCCTTAGTAACATCTATCTTTCCTCAGTCTATCCTGAATTTGCTTACTGTACCAGGGATGAAGATTTTTGTATTCTTGATGCTGAGATGCAATCCTTATTGAAAGTTGTATTCTTTAGTATTTTTCAGTAAGTGCTTCAAATCTTCTTTAGTCTGTGGAAGCAAAGTGTATCATCTGAAGTTGGTTGTTAAGAGTCTTTTTCCGAACCCGATGCCACATTCTTCTACATATCATCTGATTTCTTAGCAGGAGTGACATCCACTTCCTAAACCACATACCTCTAGAAACTCTGTGAACATAGAGAAATGATGGTAGTTACAGAATAGGGTTCAGGTCTTTTGTTCATAGGGTTGATATGAGTCATGCCCGACTTGATGACATTTAACAAGAACAACAACATAGTTTGAATAGGTATGGTAAAGATTGTATATGCATGATGAGAGCGTACAAATCTGAGACAGACTTTTCCTTATTTTAAACCATTATTAGACCAATAGACAACATCAACATAAATGGAGAAAAAATTTAAACTGTTAACAACTTCATCTAATTGGATCCACAATTAACACCCTTGGTACCAGCAGTAGGGAAATCAGGAGATTAATTGCACTGGGGAAGTCTGCAGGACTTTGGGAACTTTCCAAATTATTGAGGAGAAATGATATAATTTTGAGGATTAAGGCGTGTCTGATTCAGGCCACGGTCTTTCCAGTCACTTGCTCTACATCTGAGAGTTGCACAATAAATAAGGATGACAAAAGAAGAATTGATGCCTTTGAACTGTGGTGTTGGAGAAGAACACTGAACATCCAGTGAATTGCCAAAGACAAATAAACAATTCCTTAGAAAGGATACAGTCAGAGTGTTCCTTGGATGCAATGATGATGAGGCTTTACCTCACATACTTGGGCATGTTTCTAGGAAGGACTATTGCTTGGAGAGGGCATGATGCTTAAAAAAAGTGGAGAGTCGGAAAAGGAGAAGACCCTCTCCCAGGTGGATTGACATGATGACTGCCACAATGGGCTCTAGTATGTCAGAAAGTGTGAGGATGGCACAGGACAGGACAAGGTTTACATCTGTTTTTCATAGGGTCACTATGAGTCGTACTTGACTTGATGAAATATAATAACAGCAAATGTATTCCTTTTTCTGTTTGGACAACTATTTCTTGAACTGTGTTTAGGTTTCATGTGAGCTCAATTAAACATTCTTAGATTCACATTCTTCTCATTGTTGTCCTTAATGTATTATCTACATTGTTGAGGGTATTTAAATAGTCAACAACAACAAAACTAGACATTTTTCTTGTATTTCCTATTTTTAGCCAAAATGCTTCTGACACCAGACTCATGAGCTTTTTATTAGACTTCTTTATGTATCGATGCTTCAAATTCATCTTCTTATCTCCATTTTTCTCAAGGCTGTTTTTCTTCCTTTTAGCATTTATACTAACTCTATCAGAGTACTTAGAACACTATATTTAATTGCTCAATGTCTTGTCTGTATATCTAAAACCATGAAATAATGGCTGTTCTTGGTTTATTCTTTATCCGAGCAACCAATATAATGTTTAGCACACGGTAGAATGATTACCAAGTGAGATAATCTCAGTTCTTCAGAAGGCATAGATGGAGGAAAAGGATTGATGCCATTGTTTTATTAGGGGGAAGCACCTATGAATCAATTATGTCATTAGTGTCATTGTTACATGACTTCGAGCCACCTACAATGTATAGTGACCATATGCACAACAGCTCTGAACCCTGCCCTATCATTTCTCCAGTCACTGAGTCAATCCATCTCATCCTGGGTATTCCTCTCCTGAATTGTCCCTCCACCCTTCCAAGTATGATGTTCTTCTCCAAGGACTAGTCCCTCCTGGACATGCCCAAAGCATGTAAGATGGAGCTTCAAAATCCTTACCTCTAGGGATCAGCTTGGTTTAACCTTTCCAAGACAGACCTGTTTGTTCTCTTGGCAGTCTGGGGTATATTTAACAATCTTCTTTAGCACTACAACTCAAAGGCATCAATACTTCTTCTTCTCTCGTCCTTAGTAATTTTCCAGGTCTCTGATGTATAGCAAGTAATTGGAAAGACCATGACCTGAATCAGGCACACCTGAGTATCAGGACTCACTTTGTTGCTTGTCAGTATTTTCCTGAAGTCCCTGGCATGTTAAAATGACCTAGAAACCATCAAAATAAGATGGAAGGAATACAGAGTCACTCTACCAAAAAGAACTGGCTGACACAGAAGAATTTCATGAAACAATATATTATTAAGAGGCAATGGTGATGAAGGAGGAAGTTCAAACTACCCTGAAGAACTGGCAAAAAATAAGGCCCCAGGGATTTATTTAATACTAATTGGCATATTTCAGCAAATAGATCCTGCCTAGGACATGCTCACCAGGTTATACCAAGAAATCTGGAAGACAACTACCTGTTCAACTTTCTGGAAAAGATCTATATTTATTCCCATTCCATAAAAAGGTGAACTGACAGAGTGTGGAAACTTTTGAACAATGAATCACATATAAGGGGTCAGAATATTTAAAAACACACACATACTAAAAAACCCACAAATAAAATAGTCAATACAAGGATTTGTTACCAACTTGACCACCTACAATGTTTTTTTAAACTAAGATGTAGTTTCATCCATTAGGAAGAAAAGGGAGAAATAAATTTATCTACTGGTTTCTATCTCCACATGACTGTAGATTTACTTATTTGTGTTTCAAAAAATCTTTACTTCCAAGTTACATATGGATGAGTACCAAGCAGTTCCATGACATCCCAGTGTTCAAAGCCAAGAATGGGAATCCTAGTATAGAAGGTAAGTGACAAATAATATGGTATGTGAATTATTTCTGATGGTTGATTGTTTTTAGGTACTTTTGAATTAACTATGACTCATACTCACCCTATCAATAGTGGGTCTGAACCTTGCACTATCCTGTGCGATCTTCATCCTCTCTGTAATCCTTAAACCCACTGTTACTATCACTATATCAGACCATCTCATTGTCTTCCTTTCTGTTGCTACCTTCCATCTTTCCAAGCATGTATCTTTTTCCAAGGACTGCATGCTCCTAACAACATATTTAAAGTATAGAACACTAAATTGATGATCCATGCCTCTAAGGAGAACCCTGGCTGCACTATCTTTAAGATACATTTGTGTGTTCTTTTGACAGCCCATAGGATACAACTTGAAGACATTGATTCTTTTGTTATCCTTATTAACTGTCCAACTTTCAGATGGATAGCAAGTAATCGAAAGACTATGGCTTGGATTAAGTGCACCTCAGTATCTAAACTGATATCATTGTTCTCTAACACTTTAGAGAGTTCCTTGACACCACCTTTCCCTCATGCAACACCTTTTTAAAAAATTATCCTCAGCCATCTCTTTTTTTATCACTTCTACCTTCAGTCACTAAAGTACTTCTGAAATATACACCTATACATCTCCACCCACTGTTGTTTCCTTAGCTTGAGATGGCTCTGGTTTTTGCCCAGGTTTATATCATGATCTTATTTCTGCTTTTGTCTCATCACAAATCATTCCTCTGATTCTGATACTTCAATTGTGCTCCACTTCTTTCCAGATAGGATAAAATCTCCTCAACATAATTTGCAATAATTTAATTTGCTTCTTCACATTTGATGCTATCTGTTCCCTTATCACACCCCTTCTTTATCAGGATTGTTAAACATTAGTCAAACCCAGTGGCTTTAAATTCCTTGCCATCTTGCCATCCCACATACTCAGTTTGATGATGATTCCTTTGCTTATAACAGTGGTCTTTAGTCAACTAATTTACATTCAACCTTCAAAACTCAGCTCAACTGTCAGCCCTTCCAGAAATCTTGCCTTGATATCTCTGCTCTTGATCTGTGAACTGAAAACATTAATGTCTCAGAATTACCTAAAGGACTTGTTGAAACAAACTGTTGGGCTCCAATCTCAGAATTTTGAATTAAGTGAGTCCAGGATGGAGTTCAAGGATTTATGTTTCTAATAAGCTCCCAGATGCTGCTGCTTCTGAATTAGGGTGGCACTTTCAGGACCATGGCTCTAGCGAAATACATGCACTTTTCTCTGGAGTATCATTTTATACATCTTGCCTGACAGTTGAAGAGCCTTGGAAGTACTCAACTACTTAATGAAAGAATGACGATTTAAAGAACCACAGAAGAAAGATTTATAAGTCCAGTTATGTACAGATTTACAGACTTG